CCATTATGTATAATTGAATAAAAGAAATCAGTTATGATTATAATTACTTGATAATTACTTGTTTCACTCAGAGCCTCAATAACATTAATAACAATGTGTATGCTGGAATTAACCATTCAGTTTATAACTTAATTAAGCAAAAAACAGAACATTCCTACACTTCAGTAATTATTATATATTTATATTAACATTATATGATAATATCTATGCATATTTGATTTATTTATCAATATATGGTAAGTTGTATTTCAGATTTGGTGAACACTCTTGTACCCCAGCCTTGTACATAAAGCGCTAAATTCTCAATACATGTAGTTCGGTATACAGTCAATTTATTTGTTACCATGGCTTTTCAAATGAAAATAAATCACTGGAGTAAGAACAGAAATATCAACCTAAACTTCAAATGATCAGAGGTGCAACACACATTAGAGATGTGCAGTGCCAAAAATGTTGCTGATGAAAACAGCTCAAATGACTTTATTTGAAGGCAGCACTGATCCTGCTAAGCAATGAGACTACATCCATTTAGAACAGACAGAACAGCCCCAGATCAAGAAAACCAGTTAGATGTGTAGTATAATACAGATAACAATGACAAGTTTGGTGCTTTTGTCTATTAGTCTTTGTAGAGGTGGGTATTGAAAAAAAGTAAAAACCTATTGATAAACAATCTGAAAAACTAATTTGAACAGCATAGAAACCCAAATCAGCGAAATTCTATCCTTCTATTTATTCTGCAGTCTCTGTGAAAAATATCACCAAAAACTAAACACAGCATATGTCCAAATGACATTTGTTTGTTTCACTGTTATCTGGGTTTCGCCACGAGAGATGTTACACATGACTCATAAACATGAACATGAAGATGCATGTTTATTTACCATATTTGTTCTATTATAGTAGCGCATATGATTACGTAAATTACAAATATGTTTCTGTTGTCAAAATAAATCATTTTAATGATTCACTATACATTAAATGCAACAATCGTTATGTGTGCTTCTGATAAAACAAATATGGTATTTGTTTTAGCCATGCCAAATTGTCCACTACCGTAATACTGCTCTCATTATGTTAATCTTAAGGTAGCGGGACTATTATTTGCATACTTGTTTTCATCTTCTAATTGTGACCAAATGACTACAAATAGACCCAGGAAAGTATATATTTTTAGAATCGCCAGACTTCAAGCTTTTCAAAGATGTGTTTGTCATGCCCGTATCTGCATTCTATGACACGTTACTCAATCAAAGGTGAAAAATTACTTTTTCTGTAAAAAAAATAATTACGCATTTATGCTGGTGATAAGAAGTATTTTTTTCACTTTTCCTAGTTGTTCAATAGTCTGGTAAATTGAATGTGTCTGGTCAGTTTTATTCAAGCAACACGTTTTAAAAAATAGTGTGCTGAATTTCAATTACTGTTTTAGTCGCATTGCCCCCTACTCAAACCACAACTCGTTGGTAAATAATCGATGAAATAGTTTGTCTGGACACATTCAAGTTCCTCTCACTGTCACCTTAAAGCTGTGAAAATTTGGTGTTAATCCGACGACAATAGTTGCGTTCACGCACAGCTCCTTAGCACGGGCTAAGAGGTCAAATTCCTTAGCCCGTGCTAAGAAAACGTGCGTGAACGCTTAGCACGGGCTAAGAAATGCTAAGTACGGGTTAAATCTGATCCGAATTTAAGACGCGGTCTAGACCTTAGC